TAAAAAAGTAAAATCGTAAGTAATATCTGACGATGACACATGTCCCTAACTCTATTTTACTTTATTTATTTTTAAATTTTAACTTTTTAAAATAGATAAAACTATTTATCTCCAAACATCTCTCCATTATCTTAACTACCATTTACATATTTATAATTTCAAATAATAAATAAAATTTGAAATTACACTTTTAAAATTAATGAAAAAATTATCCCAACTTTTCATTAACTTATTTATTTACACTTCAAAGTTTCTAATTTAAAATTGCAAGCAGTATCTAATAGTGCCATTAATTCTAATTTTCTTTGTTTATTTTTAATTTTAAAAAATAAATAAAGTTACGTCACCCTCAAAATATTTCTACATTATTCCGACTTTTCATTAATTTATTTATTTATAATTTCAAATTTATAATTCAAAAATAACAAGAAATTTATGCACCACAAGCAATATCTAATGACGATGACACATGTCCCTGATTCTATTTTGCTTTATTTATTTTTTAATTTTTAAAAATAAATCAAACTACCTTACTCCAAATATCTCCCCACTATCTCAACTTCCCATTAACTTAATCATAACTTCACATTTAATTTAAAAATAATAAATGAAATTCATGTTTTGATTGTCTAAAAAAATAAAATTTAAAATTCTAATTTAAAAATGCTAAGTAAAATATCTGTATCCAATTTTTCAAAAATATTTTTTTGGACAAGAAATCAAAAACTCAAAGTGAGAAATTGAAATTTGACCTAAGGATTTTCTAGTAACCCACCCCATGTCCTCACCCCTACTGCATTTTCTCTATTTTTCTCACCTCCCTATAATTCAAATTCAAAGTTAAACTTTAAAACTCCTAAAACATTTTTCCCATTATAATTTTTGTGCTCACATTTCTTTTTTCCTTTTTCTAGACTACTCACTCATATTCACACATTTCTTGCAAAATTTGCAAAATTATCATCTTATTAGTGTCTGATCAAAGGCTTAGGGAGAGTTATTTTTTATCACTTCGACAATGACAAAGAATAATTCAAATAAAAGTCATATCATAAAAACTATAGATCTACTTGAACCCTGATGGTTAGCTCTATTCTTGTGTCCAGTAATATATTATCACTTATTCATTATAACCAAGTCATTTTCAATAGATACATTATAATATTCTTCTCTTTTATGTATTTCTATTGCTAAATTCTTGTCATTATTTCATTTTCAAAACAAGTGTGAGGAAATTAGGTGATTCCCCTTTTATTTTTTCTATTAAATGTCATTTAATCATAAGTTTTTATTGTATGTGTAGATGAAAGGAATGTAATCTTTTGAAGGAAATGTATTTTATATATTTCAAATTGTGCAGGTGTAATTTGATTGTAGATGACATTTGGCATAGGTATGTAATTTTATATATATTAATTAATCAATTCTCATACTCTTAATTGTCTAATGTATTATAAGAAGTAAAGCCAATGTTAAAAGGAAAATAATAACTTAGTATAGAACATATAAAATAATTGAATGTATTTAAATTAGTAAAGATTCAAGATTTTTAAATTTTTTTTGGTGACTGTGATCTTTTGTTCCATATATTCATTCCCTTTTCATTTATAACAAGTTTTTTTAAACAAATAAAATATAATAATCATTTGTAAAATTTAGTGAAAAACAAATCGATATGAAATTAATTTTATGTGTAAATTAATTTGAACCATTTTCAGTTTTTTTAAATCAATGCAAGATTAATTATTGTCTTATCATTTTTAAACTTATTTTAAAGATTTATTTAAATTCAATTGATCTTAATTGTATCATAATTACAATTACAAAAAATATACCTAAAAATATCATGGGCATCACAAATTATTTTATTTAAAAAATAATAAGAGACATATTGTGATATTCATAAATTGTAGTTTGGAATTAGCTTGTGCTTTATAAATGTCAATAGTTAGCACTAGAAAATTTATTTTCACCAAATAACATTTTATATTATGAATAATTATTTACTATAATTATTTATTTAATTTTTATTTTTTCACACTCCATGCATGGCACTGATCACATGCTAGTTACTATAATAACAAGTGAAGTTATGATTTTTTTTACAAGTAATATTATTAAAATAATAAATTAAGTTACAGTTTTTACAAATGATATTATGAGAATAACAAGAAATTATGTTTATATAAACAAGGGCAAGGGATGAGGGGTGGAACTGGAGGACTTAGAGAGAGCAGTAGAAGCGAAGGGGGAGAAGGTAACAGAAGAGGCCCTAATGGTGGGTGTAACATCTTAGTTTTAATATGAATTTAATTAAAGATTTTACTCTAAGATTCATTTGTTCTAGCCTAGTTACAAGATTATCCTTAATTAACATCAATTCCAATTCATTTCACCACTAATCCTCACAGTAATGAAATCCTTAATCTCTTTCCCATCAATCCAACCTCAATAATAATAATAATAATAATAATAATAATAATAATAATAATAATTCTCAACTAATTTCCTTAACAAACCTAAATTTTTACTATTTAATTGTAATTAAAAATTAGAATGTTACAGTTAACAATTTCATGTAGGGAAATGAGCAACTTATTTTTACCATCATTACAACACTTGAAATAAAATAAAGATTCGATGATGGCATAAACAACTCTTATAGAGTAATGAATAATTTTATGTGGGGAAATGAACAATTTTAGTATGGGCAATAAAAAACTTGTTTTACCATGGTTACAACACTTGGAAGACAATCAAGATTCAATAATGGCACAAATAACTCCTGTAGAGTAATGAATAACTTTATGTAAGGAAATGAACAACTTTAATATGAGCAATGAACAATTTGTTTTACCTTGATTACAAGACTCAAATAAAATCAAGACTCGATAATGTACAAACAACTCTTATAAGCCAATGAACAACTTGATGTAGGAAAATGAATAATTCATTTTGCCACACCACCACACGAAATAAAATCAAGATCCAATAATGGCATAAATAACTTTAGTATGTCAATGAATAACTTCATGTAGAGAAATGAATAACTTCAATATAGGCAATAAACAACTCGCTTTACTATAATTACAATACTTAGAATAAAATTAAGATTCAATTATGGCATAAGCAATTCTCGTAGGTCAATAAACAATTTGATGTAAGGAAACGAATAATCCATTTTACCATAATTACAATACTAAATTAAATTAAGATTTAATAATGACAAAAACAACTCTTATAGGTCAGTAAACAACTTTATTATGAGTAATAAATAACTCATTTTATCATAATTATAATATTTGGAATAAATAACACAAACATCTCTTATTGGGCAATAAACAACTTCATGTAGGGAAATAAACTTCAATATGGGCAATGAACAACTTGTTTTTACCATTATTACAACAATTGGAATAAAATCAAGATGCAATAATGGTATAAATAACTCCTATAAGGAAATGAATAACTTTATATAGGAAAATGAACAACTTTAATATGGACAATGAATAACTCATTTTGCATTGATTTCAACACTCAAATAAAATCAAGATTTAGCAATGCATAAATAACTCTTGTAAGTCAATAAACAACTTGATATAGGGAAATAAATAACTCATTTTAATATGATTACAACAAAAAAAATCAAGATTTAATAAATGGCACAAACAAATCCAGTAAGTCAACAAACAACTTCATGCAGAGAAATGAATAATTTTAGTATGAGTAATGAATAATTCGTTTTACTTTGATTACAACACTTAGAATAAAATTAAGATTAGTAATGGCATAAATAACTCTTGTAAGTCAATGAATAACTTATCTAAGAAAATAACTTGTTTTACTATGATTACAATACAAAATAAAATTAAGGTTCAGTAATAGCACCAACAACTGCTGTAGGTCAATAAATAACTTGATGTAGGGAAATGAATAACTTGTTTTATCATGATTGCATCACAAAATAAAATCAAGATTCAGTAATAACACAAATAACTCTTGTAGGCAAATGAACAACTTCATGTAGGGAAATGAACAAATTCAGCATGAGTAATGAACAACTCATTTCACCATGATTACAATACTTGAAATAAAATTAAAATTCAGTAATGACACAAAAAACTCTTATAGGGTAATAAACAACTTGTTTTACTATGATTATAACATTTGAAATAAAATCAAGATTCAATAATGGCACAACAACTCCTGTAGGACAATGAACAATTTCATGTCGAAAAATAAACAATTTCAATATGGATAATTGACAATTTATTTTATTATGATTATAACATTTGAATAAAATCAAGATTTAATAACACACAAACAACTCTTGTAGATCAATGAACAACTTGATGCAGGAAAATGAATAACTCATTTTACAATGATTACAACACGAAATAAAATCAAGATTTGATAATAGCACAAACAACTCCAGTAGGTTAATGGACAAATTCACATAGAAAAGTGATAATTTTAGTATGGGCAATGAACAACTGGTTTTACTATGATTGGTATGTTTGAAATAAAATTAAGATTTAATGATGGCATAAATAATTCCTGTAAGTCAATGAACAATTTGATATAGGAAAATGAATAATCGTTTTACCATGATTACACCACAAAATAAAATCAAAATTCAGTAATAATACAAACAACTCTTATAAATTAATAAATAAATTTATTAAGAGAAATGAATAATTTTAGTATCAAGAATCAATAATGGCAAAAATAACTCTGGTAAGCCAGTGAACAATTTCATATAAAAAAATAAACAACTTTAATAGAAAAATAAAAGAGGTGAAGATTGATGAGGTAATTTTATTATATTTTAATTTTATTTCAGCATGTTTGGTCTGAAATAAATTTTTAAAGTTCAAGTTTCGTTTAGTGTGATGAAATAGTTTTTTCGCTCGGAAAAAAAAAAAAGTAGTGCGATGAAGGAGTCTTAAATTAAATTTTCCTGAAACGTAAATGTAGGGGAATGGTCGGCCGGAATTTGGGACTGCCGCGTTTCAAAATTCGAGACGTATTATTAGACACAGAAAGAACAGCTTTACCGCGGAAGTGTGTGGAAACAAAAGCTTTTGACTTCCCCGGTCAATACCTGTCCCCTTTCGCTGAGTCTATATCTCTGGTCTTTGCGATATCAACCAAACCTCCGGTTTGAAGGAGATCCATCCCTGTTTTCGTCTCTCCTTCACCCGGCCAAGTTCTAGATCCCAAACAGACACACATATATACTCATACGTATTGAATTCTGCCATTATTGATATCCATCGATCCTTACGTTCAAAGATTACACCCCGCACCAAATTTGCTTTGATCCATTGATTGTTATGTAGAGCTCTGCATCTATCCATCACTTTTCAGCTGGCACCTTTGTGCGCTTCTTATTCGATCCCAAGGAAAGCGATGGAAAACATTGCCGCGCAATTGAAGCAAGGCATCTCGCGCCAATTCTCCACCGGTTCTCTGCGCCGGAATCTGAGCCGGCAGTTCTCGCGGCAGTCGTCCTTGGATCCCCGACGCAACAATCTCAGGTTCAGTTTCGGTCGCCAGTCATCACTCGATCCGATTCGCCGCAGTCCCAGTCATGATAATGACCTGGCAGTGCCAGAGAACCTCGACTCCACGATGCAGTTGCTGTTCATGGCCTGCAGAGGGGACGTGAAGGGAGTGGAGGATTTGCTAAATGAGGGCATTGATGTCAATAGCATTGACTTGGATGGCCGCACTGCGTTGCATATCGCTGCCTGTGAAGGACATGTGGAGGTTGTGAAGCTCTTGCTCAGCCGCAAGGCTAATATTGATGCTCGAGATCGTTGGGGCAGTACGGTACTTTTCGTTCTCGTTCCACTTCTTTTCCCATGCTTGCAAATGCTCCATCCTCTTCTAGACGTTCCTCCATTTTCATTTGGGAGAGTTTGTTAATACATGGGCAGGCTGCTGCTGACGCCAAATACTATGGAAATACAGAAGTTTACAATATATTGAAGACCCGTGGAGCCAAAGCGCCGGTATCATATTCCTTATTCACACTCTTCTCTACAGCTATATTTACGCATTTTGAAATTAACCACTTATTAATTAATCTTTGATGCCGTTAGAAAACCAGGAAGACTCCGATGTCTGTTGCCAATCCGCGGGAAGTTCCGGAATATGAACTTAATCCCTTAGAACTCCAGGTCCGGAAGAGTGATGGCATTTCAAAGGTGTGGGTTCTTTTCTTCCCAATTCCTCTTGGTGGATTTTTGGTTACCTTCATCGTTCAAAAGATTACGGGGCTTTTTAGTTGAGTATTGCATATATTTTTAAATTATTTCTGGTATGATTTATATCATGGATTTCGCAGAGTTGTTGTTATTAAGACAGATAATCTGAGGGGATTCGCTTTCCAATTGGTCAGCTGCCATGATTGGCGGTGTCATCTTGTTTTATTACTGTGCGACATTGGATTAGTTGTTTGCCATGTATTTATTTTTAGTTTGCAACGATCTGTTAGTTCTGAAGTAGATTCTCTTGACTCTGAATCTTTCTGCTTTTTTTTTTTTTAAATTTATTCCAGCGAACGTTTTGTTTTTTGAAGTGAGTACTGATAATGGGTGCCCAGCTCATGTTAAGATTTGTGAAACACTTTCTCATATTGTTTGTTTAGTTAAGTTGCAAATACATGTCCGAACTATTGAACATCCAGATGCACGTTTGGAACTGCTATAGCATACATGAATTCTCTGTATCTATAAAGTTACTTGCTTATGTGGTTTTCTTCTCATGTTAGATCTCTCTTTTCACAGGGAGCATATCAAGTAGCTAAATGGAATGGCACTAAGGTTTCTGTCAAGATCCTTGATAAGGACTGTTATTCAGACCCTGATAGCATGTATGAATATGCCTCAACTATCATGTTTTTGTGTGCCTGTATGATGTGCTTCTTGCCACCCTACCAAAATATTTGATGTTTATCCTGCTTGGCTCAGCTTTTGGCTGGCTGCAAATTAGTCAGCACTTTTCATCTTGATTTTGTCAAGTGTTATCCACTTGTCTAGACAGTTAATTACACAGGAGTGACACTTACCTTAGTGTTTTCTATACTTCGCCTAGAAATGCTTTCAAACATGAGCTCATGTTATTGGAGAAGGTGCGACATCCTAATGTGGTCCAGTTTGTTGGAGCTGTCACCCAAAATATACCCATGATGATAGTTTCAGAGTATCATCCTAAGGTAAGCTTATGCTCCCTTCCTCTATTGGTCTTTGCATTTGAGAGAGGGTGAGAGGTGTTATATCAAATACAGAAAAGTGAAAGAATGAAATAATGCAGGAGCATCTCAGTGAGATGAGAAATTTATTGGAAATGTGATTTGGCCCTATGTTGTATCGTCGGACTAAAACTGCAATAAGGAATCACGGAGATCAGTATTATTCTGCCAAAAGATATGCATAATTCCATCCCCCCCCCCCCACCATAAGCAAGCAGATAAATATGAATTGTTTTCTGTTCATTGTCATTTCCTAATTCATAATGTCTTAAGTGTTTTGATATTTGAATTTTTAATTTCATCCAAAAAAAAATGAATTTTGAATACTTTTAAAGTTGATGTTCACTCTATTGTTCCTTAAATTAAGTTAGTGAATGAAATCAAACCTTTACTTTGTCCCTTCTTATGTTTTACCTATCCTGATGGTGTATGAGGAATATCTTCTAAATGATGCTGATGGACATCAATAAGTTGATTTTTGACTCTGGGTAATCCATCTGAAAGTACACTGTTATGCTTAAATATTTAAGTATCACACCTGAAGTCCTGGACATTCTGTGTGCCATCATTGTTATCCCCAATGAGCTTCTCAGAAGTTATTCATTTAGATTGTGCATTCTTGAATCCTTGCATAAAGTGATTTTTAAATGTTTTTTCCTCCTTTTAAAGAATAGGCTTATGTGTTGATGCATATGCAGCCTTAAAAACATAAAGTAGATCAGGGGGAAAAAAGAGATAGATTAAGTATATTTATATCCTTCCTGTTCGGAGAAGTCAATGGAGATGACTTTGAAATTCTTTTGAAGTGTTTTTCATATCTGAATGACTTGCCAATGCTACAAATAAAATTTCAGGGTGATCTAGCAAGCTATCTTCAAAAGAAAGGTCGTCTATCCCCATCAAAAGCTCTACGTTTCGCTCTTGATATTGCTAGGCAAGTTTTTTTTTTTTTTTCAAAATATTTTAAAAGCTTGATGAACATAGCTTTTTTATAATTTTCATGTCAATTTTTTGACATTTTCATTCTCTCGTATTGTGTGTGCTCATTGATTTCCTAGCTTCACTTTTGGTCATTTTCTCAGGTTGATAAAATTACAATGGCCCAAATTATTATTCTTTTATTGGCCATTCTTTTCTGTTGTTTTTATATATATTTTTGTGTGTGTGATATTTTGGTTAATTTCTTGTTATCAGGGGCATGAATTATCTCCATGAATGTAAACCAGATCCTATTATCCACTGTGATTTAAAGCCAAAGTAAGACGACTTGGTACAAGTATTAATTTGATATGCATGTACATTATAGATTTTGTTTCTTTCATTGAAATCACTGTTCCTTTAATATGTGAAATTTTCGCAAGGTGCCAGAAATATTTTGCTGGATAGTGGAGGACAGTTGAAGGTAGCTGGATTTGGTATGGTAAGATTGTCAAAGATTTCACCTGACAAAACAAGACTGGTGCAGCCTGGGGCTAACATTGACCGTTCAAGTAAGTTTTAATGTATGTTAAAAAACAGATCATCATCACTTAGATTCTGATAGCTGCCACACCACACTCCAAAAATAGTATGAAAATATACTGGAATTGATGGGATTAACTCAACATAACTGTGGCAAATCACCGTAGTGGGAGATATGCCTTTACACTGAAAATAAAGAAATTATAAAACAGTGGAGGCCTTATAGATGCTAGCAAAAGTTCTATCATTTTGAGAAAGAAAATGAAAGGAAAAGGAACATTCGTTATGGGACATATTAATAAATTAAATCTGATTAAAAATGTAAAAGCATGGAGTTGCTACGAAAATCTGCAGTTAAATTAATGATTTGGCATTATTCATTGTAGGCTTGTACATGGCACCAGAGATTTACAAAGATGATACATTTGATAGAAGTGTGGATGCATTTTCCTTTGGTCTCATTGTATATGAGGTACTTATTTTCACAAAATATCAATATGATTGATTTGTTCTTTCCAGTTATGAGATACATGTTTTCAAGAAAAGTTCCTCTTAAAATACATATCCGGACCTTCATGTTTTGATGTGTTATGTCCCTCAACTTTACACGCATTGCTTGATCTTGGGAATTGGGAATAAATTTTAAATAGTGGTTTTTTAAGTCTATGCTCTTCCAGTTTCAAGGAACATTGCTGGATTTCTAAAACATGCATTGCTGATGCACAGTGGTATTATTATTTTTGGAGCCTTTAGTTTTCTTTGGGCTAGAGTATGTATTGAGTCCTTTAACTTTACACAACGTTTCATTTTAGTTTCTTAATTTTATAAAATGTTTTTTTAGTCCTTTAATCCTAACACTTTTAGTTTTATCCTAACAAATTTTTATATTGAATTTTTAAATATTGACAAAACATTTTCAAATGTTAACATATTAAGTTTAATTTTTTCAAAATAACAATGATTGACACAAAAAATAATCAACAACAACAACAAGCCTTTATCCCACTAGGTGGGGTCGGCTACATGGATTGCAAGACGCCATTGTGCTCTATCATTTATCAAGCTTTTAGAAATATTATTAATTAAGAGATCACATTCAACAACTTCCAAGAGTGTTCTCTTAGGCCTTCCTCTACCTCTCTTAATCGGACTCAAAGTTATATGTTCCACTCTTCTCACTGGTGCCTCCCTTGGTCTTCTTTGTACATGCCCAAACCATCTCAACCGATTTTCTACCATTTTTTCCTCAATAGGTGCCACCCTCACTTTTTCGCGTATGTGCTCATTTTGAATTTTATCTTTACGTGTATGTCCGCACATCCATCGTAACATTCTCATCTCTGCTACTCCAACTTTATGCTCTTGCTGTCCCGTTAGAGCCCAGCATTTACTACTATATAACATTGTCGGTCTGATAGCAGTACGATAAAACTTTCCTTTAAGTTTATCAGGCACCTTACGGTCACAAATAACTCCTTTAGCTTTTCTCCAATTAAACCACCCAGCTTGAATTCTATGTGAAATATCTCCACTGATTTCGCCATCATTTTGAATAATGGCTCCCAAATATCTAAACTTTTCCACTTGAGGTATAATTTGATCTCCCAATTTCACTTCCAAATTATTTTCGAATAGTCCTTTACCAAATTTACAATATAAATATTCCGTCTTACTTCTACTCAGACGAAAACCTTTCGACTCCAATGTCCTCCTCCATAACTCAAGTTTGCAATTAACCTCTTCTCTTGTCTCTGCTATAAGAACTATATCATCCGCGAAGAGCATACATTTCGGGATTTCCTCTTGAATATGTTCCGTCAAAACATTTAAAATCAAGTTGAACAAATAAGGACTCAGAGATGATCCCTGATGTAGTCCAATCTTTATAGGAAAATCCTTTGTTTGACCACTAGGCGTTCTTATACTAGTTTTTACCCCCTCATACATATCTTGTATGGCTTTAATATAAGTAATCCGTACTCCCTTTTTTTCCAACGCTTTCCAAAGCACTTCTCTTGGTATACGGTCATAAGTTTTTTCCAAATCAATAAAAACCATGTGTAGATCTTTATCTTTGCAACGATACTTTTTCATTAATCCCCCTAGTAGATAAATCGCCTCTGTAATTGATCTACCTGGCATAAAACCAAATTGATTCTCAGAAATACTTGTCTCCAATCTCAACCTGTGCTCAATTACTTTCTCCCACAATTTCATTTTTTGTGTAGATCTACTTGACAAAAAAAATAATCATTTGAAACTAATGATATTAGGGTTAAAGGACTGAAAAATTACTTTACAAAATTAAAGGATCAAATTAAAATCTTATATAAAGTTAGAGAATTAAAAGTATACTTTAGCCTTTTCCTCTCTATATATATATATGCAATTCTAATAAAGCATTGTAGACTTTCTCCTCAACTGCTAATCGTCTTAGTGTGTGCATGATCTATTCTTCTACCTAATGATTGTATCAATTTTAGAAACACCCTTTAGACCAATGCTAAATTGAGGCTGAAGTAGCTCATCTTCGAATTCCCCCTCCAGTAATGGCATCTCTGGTCCGCTTTCTAGAAACATTTTATGCAATTGTGAAGTAGGGAGTACCCTATATAAGATGATCTAGAAAACTAAGGGTAAGCTCAGTTTCCAAGTCTAATAACCCGATATAAGATGATCTAGAAACCCAGGGGTCAGCTCAGTTTCCACTTCAAGAGTAAGCTCCTTAAAAATTAGAGATTTCAGAGAAAATCTCAAGTACCTTATGCTAGCCTCAAATTTGAGTTTGTGCCATAATGTTTTTGCTTGCTTTTGTTTACAAAATCCTAGGAGGCTCTTGCTTGTGAGCATGAGGTTTTTTCCCCCTTGAATGACAAATCTCCTTGTGTTCATTGGTATTTAGCTATGGTTCTTGATTTGTCCCTTCTGTTTCCACTAATGAAAGATGAAAAGGGTTACACGTTACTACTTTATTAGGGGCTTTATTGTCTTTATGTTGTTATATTATTATTGTCTTTTATATGTTGTTGAATTCTAGGGTACTTGTTGACAATGTAAGGCCTTACCTCTTGTGGCATGTGTCTAGGTTTTGGGTATATATCGGACACTGCCTCCTTGGCTTATGCTCATGAAATGAATTAACCTCTTCTACTACCCTTCTTCTTCTTCCTCCTCTTCTCTCTTAACATTAGGTATCAGAGCTGTCTCTCTGGCCACGGCTCCGTCGAAGACATGGTCCTCAACTGAACAAGTAACTAATTTGGAGCATCATCTTGAGATGCAATTTACCTTGGTCCAGCAAAACTCCGACAACATATCTAAGATTAAGCAAACTTTGACCCAGTTTTTTGACCAACTTTCAGATATCTCAACCAAGCTCTTCATTTTGACCCACCAACCTCCTCGCCTCCCTACCTTTGAAATAGGTGAGCCTTCCCATGCACCCTCCCCCCCTCCTAGACCTACGGTTTCCCCACCATCCCAACCCATCTCCATCCCTCCACCACCTCAGTTATCCAGACTAGCAACACCTTCAACTTCAGCACCCTCGCCACCCATTTTCACCCCACCCCCTCAATTTGGGTCTTCCCAAAGGCTTCTACTCACACTCCTATTGCCTTACTCGACTTCGACAAAGCTTAGTCGAGTCGAGTTCCCTAAGTTTGATGGGTTTGGTTTTTGTAGTTAGGCTTATCGTTGCCATCGGTTTTTTTTATGTTGACGAGACTTTGATTGAGCAGTGCATCCGTCTTCTCAGCATCTATGTGGAGAAACAAGCTTTTCGGTGGCACCTTGCCTTCCTAAAATAGAGACGACTTTCTAACCTTTCTTGGGATGAGCATTTTAAAGAGATGGAGGCCATGTTTGGTGGCATCCAAGATGAAAACCCCATGATTGCTTTAAAAAACCTTCAAATCCAACATTTTATGGAGGAGTATGAAGAGAAATTTGATGAGTTGTTAGCGAAAGTAGACTTATCTAAGGATGTTGCAATGCATTGTTATATTGGAGGCTTGTAAAGTAAGGTTCAGCAAAGCGTTTTCGCTTTGCAACCCATATCTCTTGCAAGCACAATGAAGTTGCAAGGCGTCAAGTTGCTATGATTAAGGCCATTCACGATAATGCTCCTTCTTCCACAATGCGTAAGTTCTTTTCCTCTAATTTAGTGTTTTCAATTCTTACGTCTTCTCTATTTCTTTCTCCATACCCATCAGGCTCAAAACCCAACCTAGCTTTTAAATCAACCTCGTCTATGGGCCTAACTACACATAAGCCCAAATTGAACCTTGTTTCCAATGCCACACCCACTGCATTATCCAAACCAACCAAACGGCTTTCAAAATGCAAATTAGACGAGAGAATATGCAAGGGTCTTTATTATTGGTGTGGAGATAAATACACTGACACCCGTCAATGTCAAGATTCCCAAGTCTTTGCCCTCATAGTTGAAGATAGTGTCGTGGTCTTTGAGGATACTTTGGAGGAAGTCGATCCTTCAAAAATTATTGGTATTGTGAACGCTATGGAAGGCAAGGAGGGGACATACACTTTACAAATTCTTGGCCATATTAAAAAGCAATGGATCATCATCTTGATTGATATAAGGAGCACCCATAACATGATTGATTTTGGATTGGCAAAATAGCTTAGGTTGAAGATGCTGAACTGTGATAAGGTTCAAATCATGGTGGCTGACAGTAGACAAATCTTGGTTACTAAATATTGCTCGTTGGAATGGGAAATGGGCTCTAATTTCTTCTCTTCTGATTTTCTGGTTATGAAAATTGGCGCTTTTGATATGGTTTTGGGGGCACAGTAGCTTAAAACTTCGGGTCGGTTTACCATGGATATGGAGGAACGAGTATTTGAATTTTGCAGGAATGGCAATCTGGTTGAATTAAAAGGAATTGGATGCAAGGCACCGAGTTCGATCGCGCCAGTAACTCTCTCAAATTGTGTTACATAGATGCCACATCATCTCTACTTGATTCATGCTCTTCATCACTTACAAGTAGAATTGCCACTAAATCCTTCTCTTTCTACGGTTCAGAAATTTCAGTTGCAAAGTCTCTTAGACTCCTTTGTGGACCTGTTTGCTGAGCCATCTGTACTTCCTTCTCCTTCTCGCTCATTTGATCACTCCATTCCTCTTAAAATTTATCAATTGATCAGTTGTAAGCCTTATCACTATAGCCCAGCACAAAAATCTGAAATTGAAAACAAATCCAACAAATGCTTAACAATGGTATCATTTGAGAAAGGAATAGCTCATTTGCTGCCCTTATGGTATTGGTTCAAAAGAAGGATGGGCGTGGTTCTTTTTGTGTCGATTGTAGGAAGTTGAATGAAGCCATTGTGAAAAGTAAGTTCCCTATTCCAGTCATAGAGGAGCTCCTGGATGAATTTACCGGGGCTCAATTTTTCTCCAAGCTAGATTTAAGAGATGGCTACCACCAAATCAAGATGCACAAG